TGACTTTAATGCTCTCGATGTTCTAAAATGTCTTAAAACGCTCAAGCCCTCACGCAGCCTTGGTCCTGATGGTATACCTGCATATGTTCTAAAATAATGTGCAAATGCTTTATGTTCTCCACCAACTAACATCCTAAATGCTTCTTTCTCCAAAAATGTCCCTGTCCCTAAACCTGGAAGCAGCAAGAACGTAAAGTTCAAACCCATTGCCATCACTTCCCCGTTTCTAAAGCTTATGGAAAAACTAGTACTTCTTAAACTTGAACCCTCCCTTAAAAACTTTGAAGACCCCAAACAATTTGCCTATAGACAGGGTAGGAGCACTTTAGACGCTGCAGCCGTCTTATACAACAACATCGTCTCATCATTAGATAAAGGTGCCAAATACGTCCGCTGCACGTTTCTCGACTTCACTTCTGCTTTCGACTCTGTACCTAGATGTCTCCTGCTAAATAAGCTCTCTTTGACAAAAACTGAGTCCTGAGTCACTAACTGGCTGCATTCCTACTTCTCTAACAGAAAGCAGTACACCGTATGCAAAGGTAAATCCTCCTTTGCTGCGCTCACTGAAGCTGGTGTCCCCCCCCCCCCAAGGTGCTGTACTCTCCCACTTCTCTTTTCTTTCTTTCTACATGACTTACCATCTTCAAATGACATCAATTTTGTCAAATATGCTGACGACCTGACAGTATCTTTGCCTGTCAAATGTCAAAGTGACTGTTCTAAACTTGATGGCTTTCTGTCAGAAATCAGCCAGTGGTCCAAGGAAAACGGTCTTACCTCAAACCCCTCCAAATGCCAAACAGTCGATTTCACCTTTAGGCATAAATCCGACCTAAAGAAACTGGTTGGCTCTCACGAGGTATGCAACATAGATGGCACTGAAATAGAAACCAAGTCGGAAATTAAATACCTAGGCGTCATTCTATCTGCTGATCTCTCCTGGTCGTCTCATATCTTGGCGATTTCTAAGAAAATATTCCGTCTTACCGCCTACATTAAGAAGTTAAAACATTGAGGTATAACCCAACCCTTACTCCTACAATTCGTTAACTCTCGCATTCTGCCTATTATTCTCTATTGTTCCCCCTTAGTTTTTCCCGGTCTACTGAAGAAAGACTATAACATATCACACAGGATGTTAAAGGTTGTCAGCAGGGTAAGCAACGTGCCACTTAACCAGCTTGTTAATGGACTCATGTGAAAAATGGGCCAAACCCATTTTATCTAACTCACACCACCGTCTTCACTCACAACTCTCCCCTTGCATCTCATCAGGCAAAACCAGAAGCCTAAATAGAAAACTATATGCTCACACCAGCAAGTGCAAAAACTCAACCATACCCTACTTAGCTCGTGTTCTGTGCGATAAAGAAAGCATTAGGCGTGACACCTATAATTCATTAAATAGTCAGTAGTACAACTGGACCTCGTCTTTCCAACTCATATCATTTATAGGTACAACATTTTCTTTCTTTCTTTTCCTATTCTCTCTTTTTTTTCCGTTATGTGCTGCTTTGTTTCTTTCTCTCGCTTACGCCGGTAAATATGACAGCACCTACTTTTCTAACACCTTCAAACACTGTTCAGCTTTGGCTTTGCTACCGACATCCCAATATGTTTTTGTCATAAAGAACTGAGATTTCCTTAATCTATGTAGAATTCTATTTATTGATAATGTACTAACTGGATGCAATACTGTAGTAAAAATACTGAGAATTCCATTCTGTATCACAAGTACTGTTTTGGAATAAAGCAAATTATTATTATTATTATTATTATTATTATTATTATTATTATTATTCATTTCGTTTGCGATCTGGGCAGCTTTGCCAATCTCGTACATGTTGCGGACATTCCATGTCCCCACACAGACTTTTTCTTTTGGCGCAAGGAGATTCATCGTGCTGAAGTTTCTGTTGCAGCTTTGTTTACAGGGTGGGGTTGCTAGCCTCTATTGGACAGACTCAACTCTGTACAGAATCATATTAGTCTTACATGCGAGGAAGAAAGTCGCAACCAGCTCGCATTTTTAGACATACTTCTGAGTCGAAGAGACGATGGCTCAATAAGACGTTCTATCTACAGAAAGCCCACTTGGACAGGGCAATATCTTAATTTTCACAGCTTCTGTGCATTACAATATAAGAGAGGCTTGGTGAAGTGTCTATTTAAGAGGATTCAGCGTATTTGCACGGCTGATGTTATAGACAAGGAAAACGAAATATTGATGGATACTCTTGTTGAAAACGGATATCCTTTGAAGTTTTTAAACAGGTGTAGAAGTCAACTAGCCTCTAAACCTACAATCCATACTGTCCCTAAGAAAAAGGTTTTCATCAAATTACCATATAATGGGGAAATAAATAGTAGGATTTTGAGACAAAGGTTGAATTCCATCATCCGTAGAACCTACTATGCAGCCCAGCTTGTAATTGTCGAAAAGGCTAAAAATATGCTTCACTGGAAACCTCAAAAGTGCACAAGTGATTTTATCACATCCCATACAATTTACCAATTTTCGTGTGTGTGTGGACATACATACATACATAGGGAGGAGTAATCGCGCGTTGCATGTGAGGGTGGGAGAGCATATCCCAAAGTGCTTAGGAAAACAGATGAATTGTGACAAGCCCATAGATGCAGGTGCCAGACTACCAACTTCGTCTATAGCTAAACATTTAATCGAGATGAACCATAAGGTTGATGTTAACTCAGCCTTTAAGGTCATCTATAAAAACGGTCAAGGACATTTACTGAAATACGCTGAGGCTATAGCTATTCATAAACTTAAGCCCCCCTTGTGTATTCAAAAACAGTTTGTTATTACTCTTAACCTACCTTGGTAATCCTTATTTGATTGGATTACCAAACGTTTGTGTTAATTATTTTTAATTCTTTTTTTGTCACCTTGTTTAATTTAACTTTTCCATATATATTGACTTGACAAGTAAATGTGTGATCAGATTGTTCGAAATGTATAGCGCTAATGCATCACATTTTTCAGATAATCTCCGTCTTCTAATAATGCTATCAAAATTTATAAAAGGGACTAACTGTTTTAAATTATTATTATATTATTATAATAATATTATTTTATTATTATTATTATTTGAACCTATTGCCCACTGCTTAAATTACTAGAGCATTATTCGGTCGGTTACCGAACTACAAGATTCATTTCTTTGCGATGGGTATAATCCGATACAAATCAAATCTCGATGTGAATACCATCACATACTAATAGACAGGTACAATCAAGTGACGGGCCTGAAACAGGATAAAACGCATCTTGAACTCCAGTGCTAACCACCACCAAACAAAATGTCATTTGTTGATTGAGAAAATATTAAGACTGCTGGTTGTCCCGGTAGCTGCATGTAGCAGTACTGTTATATCTGCAAGCTTGTTTTGTGCTTCGAATATCAGATGTGATAAGATTAAGATCGAAAGTGCTGATAAAAACGATACAACACTGCTGATATTTCACCGAGATAAAAAATGATGTAGTTATGGTGTGGACACACTTTTCAGTCCTTTAACCCCCGCTCTTTTACATTCTGCAAATAGTTCGAACAGACGTAATAGGAACACATAACGTCGTGTCATATTAAATATAATGAGTTGTGTAACTAGTGCCTGAATGCATCCAAATAAAAAGTATGTGTTACAAATACTAGGACGAAACAGCTGTCCAGTACTCCCCGCAGGTTTTCTAATGGTTCTCTAACTGATGTCAGCTCATGATGAAATCCTATAACCAATCAAACAAAATATCCTTACAAAACCAATACTTGAAAATACATTTGAAGTGAGTGATATTTAACATCTGATGCTAATGCCACAGTTTTCCTCAACGCTTTTGTTTTCTTATTTCCCTTTAATACTGTCAAACGTTTCAAATAGTCTTAACGATTCCGATTGTTAGAGTTCAAGAAGGATAAGTAAGCTAACCGTATTGTTTTAAATAAGGTCTTTCTTTAACTTCGGTATATATTACTCACTCTACCTTCTAAAATATGAAACCATGTATGAAGATAAATTGATCTTTCATGATAGGCGTACAATAATGGTAACTGTAATACAAATCATCAGCATGAAAATGCAGACATTTCAGTTATCATTGTAGGTCAATAGCTTGTGAAGTTCCATGTTACACCAAAAACTGAAAAGAATTGGTTGGGCGAATTCCGAACGCAAGTATCATTATATGGAAAAAAATATTACAATAATAAGAAAGTATTTTATTGAACGCTCTTCTGTCTCTGAAGATATGTATATTGCAACACTGATTCTTTAAACGAAAGTGTTGGCTTATCCCTGAGGAAATTCAAGAAAAGCGTATTCACCTCCATTTCAGTTGCATTTTGATTAATGTGTTATTGTGTTGTGACGATTTCGATCAATACACAATAAATATGAACGTTACCTTCATGTAATCTTCTTGAGATTGCAGAAAAGTTTGTATAGTGTAGGAAACGAGTTCAAACCTTATTTAAAAAGGTCTGATAGCGTGTTGTTTGTTTTTATGCACCAATTTTGATAAATCAAACTACTTAGTTACGATGACATCAGTCGGGACAATATATAAATCACAAATCGATTAGAAAAATGTAAACAACTGAACAAAGGAAGATGAATAATGAGTGAATACTATGCGATTTTTATTCAAAGATAAAGTACACTGGGGAATGAAAAAAGTAAATGTTTTCAGATCATATGCAAAAAATTACAAACAAAAGGAATGAACTGTTAAAATCAAAGTTAAAGACATTGTTGTGGTAACAGAATGCAGAATAAAACAAATTGTTGAGGTATTGACCGTTATGTGTTAGCTGTATTACTAGGTCCAAAGTTAAATACCAAGTGCTCATCTTAATCTGTAAGTAGAAGATTATGATACATTTTTGTGCTTGTTGTATTTGCAACTTCTTCAAACTCGTACTAACGAAATTTCATACAATGGTTATTAACTTGAATATTCAACTAATCTCTTATAGACGGCTAACACGGACGCTGTATCTGCTGGTCAAGCTGGTGCCATCCTCACTGACGGTAGCACGTTCCCCTTGGTTCAAGTTGTCTCTCAACCTAACATACTTCCAATCCTTCAAGAAGCCGGTGGGACGAGAGCACAAATTTTGCAGATTCAGGTGAACTGTTTTGCTAATATTAATGTTATGTATATGTTAGTTGAATTCTTTCTTTTATTAATTGGTGCAGATAAATTGTTTCTTCCGTTAAGAACATCTTCGTGTTCTTTGTCTATGCAAGGCTCTATTTTGATCATCTTCAGTTTGGTCTAGTCACTGGACTTTTTCCTCTCGTTCAGTCATTTTCCATAATTAGTTTGGTAACAACCTAGTATGTTCGGCTACACAATGGAACTAACACGATGAAACAGTGATTGCTAACCGTGCAGTTAACATAAAATATGATCGAGACACAATATAACCTAGCAACTTGTAAAGTTGAAGCGATATGTGTGCAGTATGTAATTCCATTTAAATTTGTTTATTGGTTACTGGCTGGCTGGCTGGCTGGATTCAACATAGAACTTGGCACCGAAGTGCAGCAGTTCGAGTTGCCACGTTCCAAAGAGCACACAAAGGTAGACAAGAAAATGAGTGAAGAGAATCAACAGAGTTTTGACAGGTATAAGAGTGAAACAGAATGGGTAATGGTAGAAAGGAATATGAAAGATTACAGAGACTGAATACATCTGCGCCATTGACAACGATTTTGAGCCATGTCACCTATTGTCTCCAGCCATTGATTCTTAAAGTCCCGAGGGCCTCAGCCCGGAAGTCTGCATCTCCCTATCTGACTCAGTTTAAGTGTCATGGATTTCATGGATTGATACCATGTTTTTGTTTGGCCACCACTTACTCTTTTCCAACCTGCACCTATATCAGCTAGTAATGACCGTCGTGGGAGGCGATGGTTAGGCATGCGCGGCACGTGACCTAGCCATCTCAATCTATGCAACTTTATAGCCTCCTCGATTGATTTTCCCTCTTTGCCCAACTCTCTACGCCTAACGTCAACATTACTTACCTTATTATACCACCTAACGTGAGAAAGAGATCGTAGACATCTATGATCAAAAACAGTCAACCTTTTCATGTCTTCAACTCGTATTGGCCATGTCTCAGAGCCATAGAGAAGGACGGAGCGAACTGCTGAGCAGTACACACGTCCCTTGGTTGATAGCCGGATGTCACGCCTACGCCAGAGACGGTGTAAGTTAGCGAAAGCAGCCCGAGCTTTTTGGATCCGTGCTGAGATTTTACAGGGGCGAATCGCATGCTAAACATACGAAGATTGCTGCTCAAGATGTTCAGAAGAGTCTGCATTTTGTCAGCGTCCTCCTCTAACAGGACTATGTCATCTGCATATTCTAAGTCCATAAGACTAATCCCTGGTAACAAGTCGATTCCTAAGTCGTTAAGTTCAGTTAAGGATACTTCCATTAGCATGTGTATGATGAAGTTAAACAGAAATGGGGAAAGTGGATATCCCTGACGGACACCACTGGTTGTTATCAGTTCAGATGACAATTCCCCATAAGCCTTTACACGGCTACGTGAGTTTGAGTAGAGTGCCTTGATTAGTGCAATGTACTTTCTTGGCACTCCCTTCACAGTCAAACATTGCCATAGTACCTTTCGATCCATGGAGTCGAAGGCCGCCTTCAAGTCAAGAAATATGGCAATTGTTGGACGCCTGAAAGTGTGCCTATGTTCTAGGATCTGTCGGAGAGTGAAGATATGATCTATGCACCCTCTACCTGGCCTAAAGCCCGCTTGATTTTCCCTCGTTTGTTCCTCCCGAGTTCGGCTTAGTCTGTTCATGATTACTGAGCCTAGGATTTTAGAGACTATGTTCGTTAGGCTGATTCCTCTATGATTATCACATGAGGAGAAGGACTTGTCTCCCTTCTTGAATATCGGTATAATAAGTGACTTACCCCAGTCTGATGGAACCGACTCTGATTCCCAGACGTTACCTAGTACCTAAGTTAATCGACATATTAGTATGTCACCCCCATATTTAAAAACCTCCGGAATAATTCCGTCGGGTCCTGCCGCTTTGTCTCGTTTCAAATTACAGATAGCTTTTGTGACCTCACTTACAGACGGCGGGCCAGTGTTTTTATCCCATTCGGGTGTGTGCTGGATGGCGGGGAGGCTCAGTGTGGCTGTAGGCAAGTTAAATTGTTCCTCAAAGTGTTCCTTCCAGCGTATTATCCTGCAAACATGTTCGTTCTTTCTCTCTTCAAACAAATAAAGGGAACCGGTTGTATGAAACTCATGTTATTATCTCTGAATAAACATTATCCTGTAATGATTTTTATTCAAATATTTAAATGAAGCAAGAAAGTTGTCTGAGTGATTTGATATGATCATGAGTTCCAATAGTTTGTGCTCGAAACGTGGTCACATCAGTTAATATTATTGTATAACTGTGACTTATCGAAACAAAATTCTATCTATTATAGAGTTATAGGTTCACTATGTTGTTCGAGCTTGTATTTCGTCTATTAGTCAATCTTTGTTCCCAAGAGAAATCTGAACTGTACCCACTTTTCCTGAATATACCACAAATAGGCACTCGTTTATCACTGAATAATTCGTCTGCTTATATTATTTTTGGAATTATGTTACTTATACTTTCTGTTTATCGCTTGAAATCACTAAAAGAGTATGTGTAGAAATTTTGTTTAAGATGTACGCAGTTTAAAGAGCTCGTATTATCTTGCAACTACGTTCTTTCCTTATTGATTCAGACTAGTCGTAGGTTAGAATGAAAATTCCACAAGATTTGTTCCCAACTATATGATTAATATTTGTGTTTACGAAAAATATAATCTATCATTGATATTCATAAAACACCCAATATCATTTTTTCTTTTATTTAGGTGCCGGAACCAACCGCTGGTGTAAGTATCGCAAGTGGCTGTTAGTGTTTTCGTGTGAATGTGTATTTGGTACAACTGTCAGATAAACTGTTGTAATTTCATATCATGTCCGTCGCTTTCTTTTTCTTCGTGTAAACATTCATTATACAGTTACTTAACATCAACATGATTTTCCTGACTTATATATTGTCATCGTCTCCTCAGGTCAAGTTTTTACAATTTGCACGTGTGTCTGTTTTAATCGCGGGATTTTTATACCTGATTATTTTGAAAATGCATGCGATGAGCATTGTTATTTTATTGAATTGTCGTCTTGTTGCCAATAATATCTATCATTGTTTTTGTTTCTTGCGTTCATAATTATAATGATATTATTATTTTTTAATTACCTGTCCCCTAAAAAACATTATTTTATCAAATGACGTTTTTAGAGAAATCCTCATGCATACTGTACAAACTGTCTTTATTGTTAATTCAACTAGATATTCTGTGTGTATGTGTTTACTATGAGTATTTGCCAACATTTTTATACAATGATTGTTAAATCGCCCAATATAAGTTCAAGCATTTCACATTTATATGTGTGCATGTTGCGAAGTCTTTCAAAAACATTTCAATTTTGATTGACTATTTGTTGTACAGTGAGAAATATTCATTGTTTCTTTAATTTGCATAGTGAATGTTTTCAATGAATGTATTTACTTGATAATATACATTTACATCTTCAGGCGCAAATATATATATATTCATAATCTCTCTTCATACCTCATCCTTCACTGTTGTACGTTGTGTGTACTACAATATGCATAGTCGTTTTGTAAACATCCGTCAAGATTTTTGTTGTCTGATATGACGGTTTTACGTAGATGTTTATTTTTCTCTCTTTACTCCTATCTACTAATCCTAGCAACGACCCACCTTGTTTCTACAGCAAGCCGGTGCTCTGTTAGGTACTCATATGGGTGCTGTAATCGCTAATGTAGATGGTCATCAACAAATCATGTACAGTCTGCAGGCACAACCACTGGTTTCTTCAAACACCACATCAAGAACTCAAGTTCTTCTTTCCTTGGATGAGGCTTCCGAGTGTATTTCGTCTATGTCAGATCCAAACTGTATTACTTCTGGTAACAGTATTCATGTTGGTGCTGCTCAGTTACTAGATGAAGCAGCAAGCGAACTAAATATCCCATCATCTCCTGCTGTATCTCATCCAGTGAATACTGAATTACTCGAGACTAAAGATTTCGCCCAACACACAACAGAACTTGAGCGTAAACCAATTTTAAACACCAGTAGTGTTATTATTACTGACAGTCTTGTAAATTTGACTGAAAATCAAGCTGTTGAAATTCACGCTATAGAATCAAATAACCGGGAGAGCTTAGAGCCGGGAGTCGATAACACTGATTCACATCCGACAGTGATTACAGATGACGATGATAGGACTGTGTGACGTCATCATAATGCCACGTTCTTTGTATCTCCTAATTTCTTTGCTTCAAGACAAATGTGTAAATACCGCAGTAGAAAAACTTGACACGAATCAAATTATCGTATAATTATGTTTTTTAGGTGTTTTATCTCTTCATTCTCCCGAAGTGTTGTATTACGTATTAAAAAGCATGTGTCCATGATTTTAAAAGTAACGTGCTATAAAGATCATTTGTTGAAAATTGGGTACTATTTCACAGTTAAAATAATCTAATTTAAAAAATTGTAACGACATAATCGCAACAAATTTTTTTCCCTTTAATTTTTTGTACAATATTTTCACTAGTATGTATCCTAGAAAAAATGTGTACTCACTTTATTTTTTTTTTACTGGTACATGTGAATTGGTGTTTTGTGAACATTGACTACATCACGTATTTTCACATACATTTTCGTGGTTAACAATTTTGGACTTCAATTTCCTCAAAAGAACCCAATGTATTTTCTTCTGCCTACTTAATACTATCCATTTTGTCAGCCAATATTTCCAAAATATTAAGGATTTCAGTTTACCTACGGAATAATACCAACTGATGTGTACAATTACATATTAATTTGTTTATCAGATATGTGGGATTACATACTATCACAGTGACAAAGTGTTACACATATATTGACGCGTAGTGATAATATCTTTGCGGACTACAAATAAATCAATGGCGAAATGTATGATTGCTTTATTTCTTGATACTGCTCATAATCATTTGTATCTTGAGGCTCTGAAAAATTTTGAATAAGGTTTTCAGTTCTATTTGTCAAAGAGTGTTGTTGCCAGCCCTTAGGTTCGCATTGTTGTAATAATACTGGAGCATAAGATAATGTTAATGGACTTCTGGTCTGTTACTTAGTATTATTATTGTTCCCTTGGGTTCCTAGTGGAACATAGGGCTTCAACTGCACGCTTCCCCTTGCTTCTGTCTTCTGCTGTACTTTTCACATGCATCCATGTTAGTCCATATTGTTTCAGCTCCTCTTCACACGATCTCCTCCATGTCACCCTTGGACGTTCCACTCGCGACTTCCCTTTCGGCTTCCACTCGAGCACTGGCCTGACGCGCGATGTCACCCAGCGGCCTCCTCAGCGAGTGTCCAATTCATCTCCACCTTCTCCTGCATATTTGTTGAGCGATTGGTTCTTGTTTTGTTTGTTCCCATAGTTTCTTGTTGGTGATTCTTTCCGGCCATCTGATCTTGAGTATAGAGCGAAGACAGCTGTTGATAAAGGTCTGCAACAGGCTGTTGGAAATATTCCTTGTGACTCGCCAAGTTTCTGATCCGTATAGAAGAACTGACTGACTTGACGTTTGTATTGAAAATCCGAATTTTGTTGTTGATGTTGAGTGACGAAGATTTCCAGATTGGTTTCAGGTTGATGAATGTGTTTCTTGCCTTCGCGATTCTCGATTTGACATCCTCGTCCGTTCCTCCTGTGGTTGAGACAATGCTCCCTGGATAAGTAAGTGAATGAAGTAACCTCCTTCAAATCCCTCCCGTTGATGGTTATTTTCATAACCTCCGTCTTGTCTATGTTCACCTAGAGTCCTGTCTTTGCTGCTTCTTTGACCAGTTTGGCGGTTTTCCCTTGTAAGTCTTCGATTTTGTGTGACATCAAACATAAATCATCCACGCTCGAAATCCAGGTCTTCTAGGTTCTTCACGTCGGTCCAGGATATCCCTGTCTTCTCGTTCCCCGCTGTCTCACGCATAATCCAGTCCAGTCCACCACAATTAGGAATATCATTGGTGATAAAAAGCACCCTTGTCTGACTCCTGAGTTTTCCGTTGTGGATCACTTGACATGTGCCGTTGTCGTACAGCTGTTGGATAAGGTTGATGAATATTTGGGGTACGCCGTAGTACTCGAGTAGTTTCCAAATTACTTCGCGGTCAACGCTGTCGAAGGCCGTCTCAAAGTCTATAAACTTGAGGTAGAGGTTTGATTGCCATTCCATGCTTTGTTCTGTGATGATGATGCGTAGAGTTGCAATTTGGTCAGAACATGATTTGCCTTTCCTAAATCCAGCTTGTTCTGGTCGGAGTTCTGTATCCAGTGCGTCCTTTATTCTCTCCAGGATGATGCGACTCAGGATTTTACTTGGCGTCGACAGGAGCATGATTCCTCGCCAGTTCTTGCAGAGTGAGGCCTAAGTCGCCCTTCTTTGCTAGTTTCACGAGGTAACCTTTCCTCCAGTCAGTAGGCACCTTTCCCTCCTTCCAGATCTTTTGCAATAATGGAGTCAGCATATCTGCTGTCGTCTCTGGGTCCGCTTTCAGTGCTTCAGGGGGTATTCCATCTGGTCCAGCTGCTTTTCCAGCTTTCAGAAGCTTGATTGCACTCAGGACTTCAGCTTTTGTTGGATGATTGGTGTCAACCTGCAGTTGTGTACGTGCTTTGTTGGTATTTCTGGACGGGTCGCAAGTGGTGGTTTGTTCAAGAGTCCTTTGAAGTGGTCCGCCCATTGTTTAATCTGTCTTTCTTCTTTGGTAATTGGGTTCTTTTGGCTGTCTTTTATAGGTTTCGATTGTGTTGATCTCTTTCCGGATAGAGACTTGGTTATCTGATATAGTGGTCTGAACCCACATCTGCTCCTCTCCTCGACCTTGTATGCAGTAGACTCCGTCTCCACTTCCTTGAGATTGAAATGAAGTCTATCTGGTTACTTTTGTGTGTCCATCTGGTGAAATCCATGTCGCCTTGTGTATATCCCTATGTTTGAAGACACTGCCACCAATCACCAAATCATTGAAGGCGCAGAAGTCTGAGAAGAGTTACCAATTTTCGTTCATTTCAACGAGGGCCTCACGACCCATGGTGAGTTCTCTTCCTGTATTGTCTCCTCCCAGTTTCGCATTCATATCACCCATCAGGATTTTGATATCGCCATTTGGGACGTTGTCCATTACTGTTTGTAGTTGTCTGTAGAAATCCTCCTTCTCTTGTTCTGAGACGTTTGTAGGCGCATAGCATTGAATGATTGTAACCTTCCTTCCTTTTGAGTTGAACCTGGCTAACATTATCTTGGAGGAGATTGGTTCCCACTGCATGAGAGCTTTAGCCGCTGTTGGTGACATCATGATGGCTACTCCCTCGGTGACCTGAGTAGATTATTGTCTCCAGTTGGTAGTTAGCTCCTTCCACATCCGTTCCATCTGCTCTCTCAGATTCCCAACACTTCCATTTTATATCTCCTCATTTCTGCGGCTACCTGAGCAGCCTTCCCAGCTTCGTACATTGTACGAATATTCCACGTCCCCATCCTTATTTTTGCTTTCATCGAAAGAAGGCACATCGGCTGACTGGCTTTCACCAGCCTGCGTCATTTCACTTCCCCGATTCCAGCGACAAATAAGGTTATTGTTTGTATTTTTAGAATTTTTAACATATTTGTGCGTTGGAGTTTTTGTAGCGGTTTGGTTAAGTTTCGGGGGTGGAGTTGCTAGCACCACGCCCAACCCTCCCTCTTTATCCGGGCTTGGGACCGGTTAGAAAACTAGTGACCTAGTAATCTAGGCGAGGTTACTTAGTGGTAGTAAATCAACCCTATCATGTGAGGGTTGATTATACTACATGGTTCTCCAAACGTGGAGTGAGAAGTTGAATGTGTGGCCCGATAAGCTGAACCAGATTTTCACCACTTTATTGTTATAATAGCTGCACCATATCCCAACGCACTTATCATTATATCAGTGTAGCAACTTTAAACATTTGGTACCAGCTTGAACTATGCGAAAAATAAAGACTCAACAATCGGTCTACATTTATCTATAGTATCTGTACAATGAAATCAAAAACGATAAAAAATAGTGTGGTAATGAACGATAAGTGGTAATATTGTGTCACTAAACTCAGCTGAGAAACGGGTTATGGTAGAGCTTGGATGCCGTTTACCGTGCCAATCGATCAGGAGTGTCCACACACTATGTTCGAAACATCAGTGGTTGCTGTACATGTCGACGTATTATGATCATATATTTGAGTGGCCCTGCAACATAGATGCCTACAAACCATAGTGATTAGAAAAAACGATTTCTGAGTCAGGCTCTAATCGTAAATAGGGTGATCTCAGGTACAGATTAGGAGTTAGCGGGGATAAAACTACTGGATTAATCAGTCATGCCGCCCATTACCTTTGAAAAAAATGCCACACTTCGATGAGCGAAAGTCACACCAATTAAGTAAGAATAATCGTCTTTATTCTCATACAGAATATTATTACCAGGATAAATGCATTGTAACTATGCCTACTACTGAGCCATCCTACACTAAAGACGGTGTCATGAACGACAAGGTTACTTCGCCCAACAATGTAGCTAATTTAACCTAAACTCATTGTCGGTGAAATACTTTTTTCGCAAGTTTATGCGCATCCTTCCCATAATCGTCACAAAAAGCAGTACCTAGGCATTGTAAACCTTGCAAAAACAACTAGCATTTCCATGCCACAACTATCGTACGAGGGTTAGTGAATAAACAACTGAAACGTAAACTAGGCGGAGAAAGTCCGAGCTCACAGATGTCGCAGCCGACTGGATTTTGTAAATTATTTGTGAAAGTATCGATAGCGCATCTGCCGATGGTGACTTTGAAACCCATCTGTTTTGATAAGTTATGATTGAATTTCCCGTACATTGCTAAAACAGGAGTGGACAGTACTGATACTTAATTTGGAGATCTAAGGACATAAATCCACTAGGGACATAATTAACGCTTAAAACAGCCATATAATCTTTACTCAATGTTTAGCTTAGGTGTGAGAGTAGGGTAGTGGTAAAATTGAGATGGTGTTCGTTTGAAGCCTATAAAAAATTCTAGCTTAGATTTTATGAAGTGAATGTGGGGAAGTCAGATATTGTGTCATTCATAATTATAAATTCGTATTACCAAATCTTGATGCGTTCATTATATTAACTTTTTATATGCTCCTTGATACAATATCATTAATTTGTACGACACTATGCAAACTGAAGATGGTAATGAATTGAAGCATTCGAAATAATGCCATTCCCTACACAACAGCCATATTGACCTACCGTTCTGACCAGTTTGTTTACTAACACACAAGAAATAGGCAAAAGCCACGCTTGTTCCTAAGCTACTATCTACACTGAATAAACCTGCGAGATAAAATCTTCGTTTATCTGGCATGTGTCTGCGCTGTATCCACGTATAATGGTGTCTGAAATGTCTTGTTTGGAATCCTGTTCCCCTTGATTACATGTCGTTCATCCATTCCAATGCAAGTTTTAACACTCAGAGTACGAGAAACAGTTATATCATGTTTCCGGAGAATTTCCGGGCACCCATAGTTCACCAAGATGCGAACGCACTCCCTTCTCTAACAAAGACTTTCTTACCTAGGCAAACTATTCATGTGTGTTGCTAATAATAACTATATTGTAGGGTGTTCAAACTTATTTGGAATTCCTAAAAGTAAGTCGAACACATTTATCCTAGTGGTCTTCTTTCAACCAGTAGACCACTGTTACCGAGCTTTGGACAACCAGTTGGTTTCACAGGACTCCTTACGATGCGTGGCTCTCAGACTATTAAATATGAGTAAGCATTGCTGTCGTTGTTTAAGCTGCCATTCCTGCTCATCAAAAGTAAGTATATTAATAAGGTAAATCAGTTGCGAGGTATAATGACCATGAAAAAGACAAAAAATGTG